ACACCGTGGATGAATTGCTAACTCCTCTCTCGACCATCAAGTTGAATTTGTTAAAGGCTGGGGTGTTCCCAGGTTGTGACAAAGATTGCCATATTTGCCTATCCGCATCATTTGAATGCCCTCTGTTGAAGAAAGGTATCTAACAACTGATTGATAATTAAGAAATCTTGTTTGAGAAAGCCCTTGTTTCACCCATTCCAGTTCCAGAAGTTTCAATAATAACCATATACGCCAATCCTTCCAGGGTTCCTAAAAAACCCGTTAGGATTACATCTGCTCCAGTGATTACTCCATTGAAGATGACAATGCCCGGGCCGACCCCGTACAAATCAGATAAAACGGTACCGTGGAACTATGGTGGAGAAATCTACTACCATGGTGTCAAACAGATTGAACAGACTGCCGAAGAGGATAGCTCCGAAGAGGACAATTCCGACGTCAGTAACATTGCCGGAATAAGCAAGGTTACCCGTAGTGGAAGAATCTTTTTTCCAGAGATTTCTCCTCCAACAGCAGTCTTTGGACCTGTGGCCATTCCGAAGATCACCTCTACACCAGCAATTGTACCTGCAAGAGTACCCACCGAAGAAGACAATACAATTCCTATCCCTACTTCCACAGTTGAGAATAAAGGAAAGAATGTTCAAGAGGAGCCTTTCCTGACGGAGGCTCAATCACTAGTTATTCCAGAGACATCCAAGAAGGAGATGGAAGAAATCCTGAGGATCATTAAAAAGAGTGATTATGATGTGGTAGAACAATTGGGGAAGACCCCCTCCAAAATCTCTATGTTAGCATTTCTGCTGTGCTCTGAGGCGCATGCTAAAGCTTTGGTCAAGTTTCTGAAGACAGCACACGTACCGCAAGAGACGTTCGCGGATCAATTCGAAAAGTATGTGGCCAGTTTAACAGCTGACAATGGCTTGGGTTTCTCCGATGCTGACTTGACCCCCAAAGGGAGAAAACACAACGAAGCGCTACATGTCTCGGTGGAGTGTAAGGGGATGACCCTAGCCCATGTCTTGGTTGATACTGGATCGTCTTTAAATGTCTTGCCGAAGAAAGCCCTGGATAGGTTGGATTGTGAGGGGCTGACTTTAAAACCCAGCAATATAATTATGAGAGCATTCGACAACTCTAAGAGGATGGTCCATGGGGAGGTGGACATCCCGATAAAGGTAGGAACTCAGACCTTTAATTCAACATTCTATGTGATGGACATCCGTCCTTCATACTCTTGTCTGTTGGGACGCCCCTGGATTCACAATGCCAGTGCAGTCACCTCCACCTTGCATCAGATGTTGAAGTACCCCATCCAAGGGAAGATCATAACTGTCCATGGGGAAGAGGATTACATGATTAGTCATCTGAATTCATTCCGATATGTGGAATTGGATGGCGAATTCATTGAGACCCCTTTCCAACATTTTGAAGAAGTCTTCCCAGAAATAGCGGCGACCAAGGCGGTATCCTCAACTCCTGTGATCACAAGACCTCCACCTCGGATGTCCTCTCTCAAGGATGCAAAGGCAGCAGTGGAAGAAGGCGGATCCACCATCTGGGGACAACTACCAGACATTCGCTACAAATCAGTCAAGTTTGGCTTGGGGTTCACCTCAATTGCTCAGAAGGTCGTGCGCCGCGCCCGTGTCGGAGGGCCACCTACGAAGATCAGTCACCAAGGGGTTAATGCACTAGAGGACAGTGAAGAATATGGCAGCTTGGAAGACTGGATATTTCCTACTGTCGACGGAGGACTGTGCAACTGCGAAGCCAAAGACTTCATCCCGATAACTTTCATTGATCAATAATTTATCTTTTACATTTATGTTGGACAGTAATAATTCATAAACAATTCGTAATTTTTCAACCTTGTGTATTACCCGAGGCACAATGGTCCATTTGTAAGGGTTCTTATTTCATTTTCATATGTCATTTCATTGAATCATGGATGCTTTTTCATATATAAACCTTTTGTGCTCATTGTCTTTCTTTTACATTTTGTTGTTTTAAGATGGATATACCCTTACACACACCCGCACTCACAAATGCAGGTACCCTTCCATTCCGGATCCCATGGGTAACGATACTGCTATAGCCTTCAGTGACTCTGAAGATCTGATCTACCAAGCCAAATACGAAGGTGAGGAAGATTGTGAGGTGCCAGGGGAATTGGCTAGACTTCTACAACAAGAGAAAAGGGCTATTTTGCCTCATGAGGAGTTGTTGGATACAATCAACTTGGGTACCGAGGAAGACAAAAAGGAAATCAGAGTGGGTGCCAATCTAGAGCCGAGTGTCAAGGAGCGCCTAATTCAGTTGTTGCATGATTATGTTGAGATCTTTGCCTGGTCATACGAAGATATGTCGGGACTCGACATAGACATTGTGGTACACCGTCTACCCACTAGAGAAGACTGTCCACCAGTGAAACAAAAAGTCCGCCGCATGAGGCCCGACATGTCAGAGAAGATCAAAGCAGAAGTTATGAAGCAGTTCAATGCTGGATTTCTGGTTGTTACTTCCTATCCATAATGGGTTTCTAACATAGTTACCGTGCCTAAAAAGGATGGCAAAGTGAGAATGTGCGTGGATTATAAAGACTTAAACAGGGCCAGCCCTAAAGATGATTTTCCACTTCCACACATCGACATCCTGGTTGACAATACAACCCAGCACAAAGTATTTTCTTTCATGGACGGATTCTCAGGCTATAACCAGATCAAAATGGCACCTGAGGACATGGAGAAAACTACTTTTGTCACACAATGGGGTAGATTCTGCTACAAAGTGATGCCATTCGGACTGAAGAATGTCGGGGCAACCTATCAACGCGTCATGGTAGCTTTGTTTCATGATATGATACATCATGAGATAGAGGTCTACATAGATTACATGATAGCCCGATCACAAACTGAAGAAGAACACCTTGATCACTTGAAAAAAGTTGTTTGTCAGGTTGAAGGAGTACAAGCTAAGATTGAATCCAAACAAGTGCACATTCGGAGTCCGGTCCGGTAAACTTTTAGGTTTCATTGTCAGCAACAAAGGCATCAAGGTTGATCCTTCCAAAGTCAAAGTTATACAAGAAATGCCTGCTCCTCGCACTGAGAAGGAGGTCAGAGGTTTCTTAGGACGCCTGAACTACATTGCTAGGTTCATTTCTCACCTAACATCTACTTGTAAACCAATCTTCAAGTTGTTGAAGAAAGATCAGGTAGTTAGATGGAATGATGACTGTCAAATTGCTTTTGATAAAATCAAGGAGTATTTACAAGAGCCTCCCGTATTGATGCCACCAGTCGAAGGAAAACCGCTAATCATGTATCTGACCGTCCTAGAGAATTCAATGGGGTGCGTACTGGGGCAGCATGATGAGTCTGGCCTAAAAGAGCATGCCATTTATTACCTTAGCAAAAAGTTTACCGACTGTGAAACAAGATATTCATTGCTCGAGAAAACTTGTTACGCTTTGGTATGGGCTGCTCGCCGACTAAGGCAGTACATGTTGACTCATACCACTTTGCTGATATTTAAGATGGATCCGATCAAATACATCTTCGAAAAGCCTGCTTTATCTGGAAGGATAGCTAGATGGCAGATGATCCTAACGGAATATGACATATAGTACATTACCCAAAAAGCTATAAAGGGCAGTGTACTAGCTGATCATCTGGCCCATCAAGCTGTTGAAGATTATCAGTCCATGAAGTTCGACTTCCCTGACGAAGACATCATGACATTGTATAACGTTGGAGATTTCATACCATATGACGAACCTGAACAAGGGTCCCGATGGACCCTGTACTTTGATGGGGCATCCAATGCGCTTGGTAACAGTATTGGTGATGTGCTTATATCTCCGGAAGGATGCCATACTCCTTTCATCGCCAGACTTTGCTTCAATTGTACGAACAACCACTACAAGAAAATTGGCAGATTGCGACAGGTATTTTTGTAGATTACGACGGTTAAAACCGTCGCAATTTTCTTTCCACGACGGTTGCTTTACCGTCGCAGAAGTGTGTGTCCCCAACCTATTTCGTGACGGTTATAAAAACTGTCGTTCAAGTTTACGACGGGTTGATACCGTCGTGACTATCTTTTGAGTTTCTTATAATTATTGATGGCGACGGTTCGATACTGTCGTGAATATCTTTTGAAATTGATTAAATTGTTTATGGCGACGGTTTGATACCGTCATGACTTTTGTTGATTATTTTTAATTGTTGATTACGACGGTTCGGTACTGTCGCCATGACTTTTGTTTATGTCTTGATTTTTTTTTATTTTTCTATTATATATTTTTTTTATTTAAATTATTATCTATGTAAAAAATTTTAAATATAGTTTTTTTTTTGTGTTATTTTTTTCTTTAAATTATTTCTTCTTTAATATATTTATTTATAGTATTATTTTTTGTTTTATTTTCTATCACTTTGTAATATAGTAAAAATAATTTCAATAAAAAATATTTAACATCAAATAAGCATTATAATATCCAAAAAAATGTGTGTTCCATAATCATGTAAAATGCGAGTTCCATAATCATGTCAAGTAGTACAAAAAACCCAAAATATATCAATTCCTAATCTTATAATAATAAGTATCATTATGCCAAAAATACATGAGAAAGTTCACAATCTAATTATCTCGATCATAGCAAAGTCTAATTTGTCCCCCCTGAAGTTCCATTATCTCCAATACGGTAGCTAGACTCAGATGAACGTCTACCATCAGCGGGTGATTCCAATCCCTAAAAAAAGGTATTAAAATAATAATCTTTAAAATAATGCTCATAAAATTTAACTTTAAATGCGTCAAAATAATATACCTGTCTTATTGAAATCACAGATACAGTAATATCATAGCATACCGAGTTGCTAAATTAAGATTCTCTCCTATTTTAATTAAGATTCCACTTGACAAGATCACCAAAAAAGCCCCCGGAACTTGATTTCAGAAACTGGTATACTGGAGCAGTAAATGGTCCATTTACATCAACCTGTTTTACAAAACTTCATTACCTTGTCATCATGATAAAAATTTACATTCAGAAGATTAATTGTATAATCAACGTTAGTACGAATTTCTCCTCGAATTTGAATTTCCTTCAGCCCCAAAACCATATTTGCAATTTCTAAAGCCCTCGATTCTCCAAAGGCAAAAACATGTCTTGTGTTAAAACTTATGATATTAGCTGCTGAAAAAATATATATCTATACATTAAAATATCAACATGATAGCCTAGAATCTGCAATTTCTCGATCAAAGTTACTGCATACCAAATTGAGAATCTGAAAATTCATGGATTCCTCCTCCAGACTGCAAACATATAATTGCCAAAATTTAGTGCCTCGCCAATCAAATTAAAAGTACTAACAAAGAGATAGAAGATTTACCTTAACAGAGAAGTAAGCCCAAACATTTGGTTTGCTTTTAAAGCTGAGCTCCTGTAAAAATATTTTAATTCAGTATATATTATGCGATGAATGAATTAAAGATGAAATTTCTGTTGGATATAGCAGTTAACCTGCACTTTCCCGCCTGTAGGCTTAAAACCATCATCAGGGTCCTCACTAGTCACTCGCACAGCCACACAATGACCCTTTGACTTTGTAGACTGTGCTTTGTCAAAATCAAAAGGGGTAGCTAAAACTGATGTTTTCCTCCAAGCATCATTCCCTCCACCATGTTCCATCCCATAGAAACGCCTAATCTCTGTTAAGTATGAGTGTGAGACTCGTGAAATATATGTGCGAAAGCAATAATAGTAAAAATATTATATCTGAAGCTATACCGGGAATTTGCCAGAGAGGGATACCCATCCCAACGGCAACTTGTGCTGCTGGCAGATTTATCTCAGCTATCCATTCAGTAACAGGATGCTCAACCTATATATCAATAAATGCAAAACAACATCAGGAAATATTAGAAACATGGCAACAAAATACTAAGATAAAGTTCCTATGTCAAGGTCAGAAGGAGAAGCAATCAAGCCATAAGAGAAAAACAAATTAATTATGGTGTGCCTAAAATCAAGGTTATAGTACAACACCTGTAGACGGGGGTTCAGCTCTAAAAAGTAGTACTCGCCAGTTTCCATGCTATAAAGATACTCAACTATAGCTGCCCCAACATAATTTACAGATATAGCTAATCTTCTAGCCGCTTGTTCAAGTTCTTTCACCGTTTCTGGGGGTGCTACAGTAATCGGACCCTCCTCAATAATCTGTTCCAGATTATTGATTATGTCATTACCAAGATTCATTCCATCGTGACAATTTGGTGTAGTAACTAGTAACAGAAAATTTTCATACCTTTTGATGCCTTCATTGAACACTGCAATCACGGTTGTGTAAAGCTGCAACATTTCCGTACTGATCACAAATCAGTTGGACTTCAAGATGCCGGCTCTATTTAGAAGCAAGAGAGATCGTCAGCGTATGATCAAAACTCCAAAAATCAAGCTCACTCAGATCAAAGTTCAGTGGTTTATCTAACCTGGGAAGCAACTTTCGTTATAAATATAGGTGATCCCGGAACTTCACCTTGAACTTGCTTGAACAATGCCCTTACCTCATCATCATTATGAACCTAAAATATCCACATGCATGTTAGTTTCTTAACTTTTACCAAACAAAACACAAAAATATGATTGGCACAAGATTATCAGCATTGATCTATGTAAGCACCGATGCTTCAGATTTAACGTGTGCCCGATTTCCGATCACTTTCATGTTCTCAAATTATTACCGATGTCAACATGTCAGTGTCAATGTCGTATGTTTGTGTCAGTGCTTCATAGGTAGATACTATACAATTTTCTACATGTTACAGAGTTGACCATAAGGAAGCAAACCTTTCTTATGCCTTTACCACCACCACCCCAAGACGCCTTGATCATTGCAGGGTATCCAACAACTTGACAACTTGCAATTGCTTCTTCTGTTGTATAAACACATGCTGCTCGGTAGATTTCATCAGGAATAGTAATCAAGGAGCTTTCAGGAGGAATTTTCACCTGTGGAAAAATTACAAAGTCATAAGTCGGGTAACCCATACAAATGAAGTACACTACAATGGGAGAAAAACTTTACATGTGAACCACTCCATGGAAGGGTTGGCACATTGGCTGCTTGAGCGATCAACGATGAACCAATTTTATCTCCCAATGCCCCCATAGATACTGCAGGAGGCCCAAGAAATACAATTCCTTTTGCTTTTAATGCATCTGGTAGCTCAGGATTCTCTGATGCATGACCCCAACCAGGCCATACCGCATCAACATGAGTTATCTCGGCAATCTGGAAAACACATTGCATTGCCGTCAGCAAAATTAACAAGTTATGAAAATCAAAATAATCACAATTACATAAGCACTGAAATCATTTAAATGACAAGAATAAATAAGCTGCAGTAATCTCATGAAGTCGACATCACATACCTCTAGAATAAGCTGCACATTGGCGTAGTTATTGTTATTGGTCCCACCAGGTACTTCCACAAACTGATCAGCTATTCTGATATGTTCTGCATTGATTCTCATGTCTTCTGGAGTAGCCATGGCAACCAACAAGATAGCCTTTTCCGTGCCAAACGTCTCGTAAGCCCAACTCCTAACACTGCGTATAAACTTGACAGCCGCCATTCCATTGTTCGCAATCAATATACTATGAATCGGCCTATTTCCACCAAGGGCATTGCAGAATTCATCTACTTCAGATATTGTAGCAGTGTGCTTATTCGATACTACACCATTTATGAGTCCATTTCCATGCCCAGCGCTAGCCATTATAGTTCTCTTTCTAGCTGTCTCCAATATACTACACGGTAAAAAAAAGTAGATCAGCAGAAACTCAAAGCATATAAATTTTTTTTCTTTGCTCCAATTGATATCGCTTATTCACAAACAGAAAAATTTAATGAAAATTATTCATGTAGCTTCTTATAAACATATAAACAAGTAATAGAAAAAAATCTATATTAACTTATCTTGCAAGATTGACAGAGTATAAAGAATAAAATAACAAAAAAAAAATCTTAGGTTCTGTTTGGTCAACCATATATGGACTTGGTAAGAAACTCCAATTTCAAAGCACTAAAAGAGCTAAAAATGATTATGAAGGTAACTAACTCAATTTTGGCAAATCAGAGCTCTAGCCACTAAACTCTATCACAAATCCATCAATCCCAATCTCACAGCTTTCACTGCAAGATAGAAACAGCCAAACACAGCCTAGTAGTTGAGAATCTCTCTCTCTTTCTCTCTCTTTCCATCACTTACTTTCAGATTCGGTATTATGAAGGGTCACTCTTGACAAAAATCAAAAATCAAAAATCAAAAATATGGTTGTAAACTAATGACAATATCCAATTATCCAAAAACATACAAGGTTCAATGACCAAATTTATATAAGCAACTAAGCATATAACTTGTTCAAAACCACTCTTTTTCAATAATATATGAAATAGTTATCCCCTGCAAGAGATTAGGAAGAAGTCAAACAAAAGTTTACAATTTTTTTTGCTTTTTTCAGTACGCTTCATCCAAAACCTGACATCCAGAGATTTCAAAATAAGATTACAAAACTTATTCCTTGAGCAGATAAAAAAGTGGGTTGATTTAAAGTAGCAGAAACAAGTTCAACAACAATTAAGTTCAACTACCTCAATCTTCTGTGCTTTCACAATAAGAATATCCATATTTTCCTGCAAAAACTCAGTTTAGACTTTGGATTAGAAAAGAAGAATAAAAGTTACAAATTGTTTTAGACATAGAACTTAAGTTTCACATAACAAACCCTAAAATAAGTCGAAATAAATACAATATCGATTGTGCAGAGGGAAAGAATACAACGAATGTTGAAGATGTTGTATGTTGTAGGGTTTTAAATCGTTATTCCCTTCTGTCTATTTTCTTTGTGTTATTACTCGATACCCTTTCCCCTTGTGATTATGAACGCTATAACTTGTATTGCTCATTGAATCGTGAATAAATTGGGGTTTTAGGGTTTATTGTTGGTGATTGGGTTTAATGTCGATATGAATGCTTGTTGTGATGTTTGAATCACAAAGAGCTCAACCCTAAGATTCATGTGAATCTCCAATGGTGAAATCAATGTTAAAGAATGAGAGAGATATGTGAAGATGAGAACAAAGAAAAAGTGTTATAGAAAACTTACCGGTTGGAAGATGAGAGATGTTCGAAGAATAGTGATGCAGGAGGACATTAGAATGTGGTTCAATTTTCATGAGTTGAAAAAACAAAGCAGAACCTGAAGATTGTTGGTTTTGACGTAGGACCAAACACGCATGAAACAGGTTAATCGAGAAGTCTGAGATTGACCGACGAAGTCTCTGAGAGTGGGAGGAAGGTTAACGAGATCGATCAAGTTTGCGAGCTTTTTAGGGTTATCAGTAATGGCTTTCTTCATTCGCTGAGGAAGCATTCTTCACTTCAATACACGATTTGTAATGGCTGCGAGATGGGTTTATCAAAATTCTAACTTCAGAGGAAATGTGCAACTCAATTTGTGTTTAGTTAGGATTAGGTATAAATTTAACAATAACATTGTGTTTCAACTATATATGTGAATATTATGTCAAGCTCTATGTATATACTTTAGCTCATGATAAATGATTATTTAGGTATAAACTTAAAATCATTTTTCAACATAAATTAAATCCACATATCATGTTATAAAAGTCATGTCTTTCGAGGCATAACCATAAGTTACCCTTGGTCTAGTCCTATCAGACCGTCTCGACATCTCATAGATCCTCCTCAAGCATAATACAAATATAACAAGCATTGAGAAAAAGATGAAAGATTAAATTTATTTGATTGATTAAATTGAACATAACACCATTGTCGTATCAAATTCATAGAATATATAATAATGCATAAACTTAACCTTAACAAGAGAGAACTTAAATATACATAACAATTATAATTAGATAAAATATATAAGTTAGCAAGAGATTTTTAAAGGTTTTGGGTGCGACGGTTGTTTTACCGTCGTGAAATGAATTTTAGGACGGATAATTTTACCATCGTGAAAGGTTTAAGGGTGCGACGGGTGCTTTACCGTCGTGATATGCCTTTTAGGACGGTTAATTTTACCGTCGTGACTAGTTGTTGGTGAAAAATCAATGTTAAAAGTGTTAAATGGGGGCCGACGGTTGTTTTACCGTCGTAATAATAATATTATGATGGTTAAATATACCGTCGCAAAATAAATATTAGGGACGGTTGGTGTCAACTGTCGTAAACATTGTCTCTATATGTCAATTATGACAGTTATCACATAACTGTCACAATTTTTGTGTCGTTAAACACTAATTTTCTTGTAGTGAACATGTCAGAGTATGAAGCGTGCATCTTTGGACTCAAGGCTGCCATAAACTTGGGAATCAAATCTTTAGTTGTGTTTGGGGATTCAACTTTGGTCATCAGTCAGATCAAAGGAGAATGGGATACTAAGCACCTAAACCTCATCCCTTACAAAGAACATGTTCTTACATTTCTACCATATTTCAAGCAGATTACCTTCGAGCACTTCCCGCGAGAAGAAAATCAGCTAGCAGATGCTCTAGCTACAATGTCATCCATGTTTAAACTTAATTGGGATAACAAGGCTCCCTAGATCACCATTGAACGGATGGACGAACTCGCGCACTGTCACAAGATTAATACCGAAGAAGTAATGGACCATCCTTGGTTTCATGAAGTCAAAAGGTATCTCGAGGCTCAAGAATACCCTGAAGGAGCTTCAGTCAATGGAAAAAAGTTCTTAAGGAGATTCTCAGCTAAGTTTTTCCTAAGTAATGGCATCCTGTACAAGCGCAATCATGATTCTATTCTGCTCCGTTGTGTGGACAAGGCTGAATCTGAAAGGATTATGGCTGAATTGTATGAAGGTACCTTTGGCACTCACTCTAGCGGGCATACGATGGCAAAGAAGATTCTACGGGCAGGCTATTACTGGTCTACTATGGAAGCAGACTGCTATCAACATTCCCGGACTTGTCATAAATGTCAAATCTATGCAGACAAGGTGCACGTGCCTCCGGTTCCTCTAAATGTCTTAACAGCTCCTTGGCCCTTCGCTATGTGGGGGATTGATATGATTGGGGAGATCAAACCTATAGCCTCCAATGGACACCGTTTCATTCTGGTGGCCATTGATTACTTCACAAAATGGGTCAAAGCAACTTCCTTCGCATCTGTTACTAAGAATGTTGTTGCCCGCTTCATCAAGAAGAACCTTATCTATCGGTACGGTATCCCCGAAAGGATCATCACTGATAATGGTACAAACCTTAACAATACTATGATCACCGCCCTGTGCGAGCAGTTCAAAATTTAACATCACAATTCATCCCCCTATCGGCCAAAGTTGAATGGTGCAGTCGAAGCTGCGAACAAAAACATCAAAAAGATCATACAAAAAATGACAGTTACCTACAAGGACTGGCATGAGATGCTACCGTTTGCTCTCCTCGGGTACCGTACCACGGCCCTCACTTCAACTAGGGCAACACCATATTCTTTGGTATATGGCATGGAGGTTGTTCTACCTATTGAGGTTCAGATCCCCTCTTTGAGAATCATGAGGGATGCAGGTTTGAGTGAAGACGATTGGATCCAAACCCGACTTTATCAGTTGAACTTAATTGACGAGAAGAGACTTACTGTTGTTTGCCATGGTCAGTCGTATCAAAAGCGGATGATCAAGGCTTTCAATAAGAAAGTCATACGCCAAGTGTATCAAGTTGGAGATCTTATGATCAAGCGCATCATCTTGCCACAAAGTGATCCCAGGGGCAAATGGACTCTTACCTATGAAGGACCATTTGTAATCAAGAACATCTTTTCTGGTGGGGCAATGATCTTAACCACCATGGACGGCGACGATCTGCCGCACCCTGCGAACGTAGACATAGTCAAAAGATACTACGCATAAGAGACCCGCTAGGTTGACACACAAAGGCAAAAAAAGGGCATCCCGGTGAACCAAAAGGTTCGGGAAAAAGTTAGGGATAAAACAAAAAGAATTTGTACACCCGACAAGTTGAAAACCTTAAAGGGCGACATGGGCAAAAAAGGGTTTCCCGGTGGACTGAAAACCCGAAAGGGCGGTCTAGGCAAAAATTAGGGAATTAAAGCGTATGACTATGTCTCGTCAGATCACTTTAAGGACAATCTCTTCACGGACAAACTCGGAGCTTCTGATCAATTCAATCATCTTCGGACGAGGCAACAGAGGGATAAGATATTCGGAGATACGAAGGCTATAGCAGAATGGGAACCCCATGGGATTATTACACATAGCTATCTTTCTTTGTAAATTTTTTCTTATTTATGACACCATCCTCTTGCTAGTATGTCTGCCTCCTTTGTACAAAATACTTATTCAAAGTAAATACAAAGATATCTCTTTAAAGTACATAAAACCATTTGTCTTTTTCTTTTTACACTTGTGTTTTATTTGCAAAAACGTCCAATGATTCATTAATGAACATATGCATTAAACATAATTACTGTTTACAAATAAACATGATGAAAAAAAACAATTACTGACAGGTAGAAAGATTAGGAAAACGTATTTAGGCTATTCCATGAGAAATCCCTACAGCACGTCATTAAGATCCCCAGTGGAGCCAAAACTTTGAACTACCAATCCCTAGCGGAGCCGAAATTTCAAACTATCAACCCACAGCGGAAATCATCTAGTGTCTCCAAGTTTCCCCAACAAGTTGTCTTGAAGCTTGAAAATCAACCAGATAACA